AAAATCGGCCAGATTGTGCCAAGATTCGTGCATATAGTACTGGACGGTGATGGATGCGTGTGGTCGAGATGGTCAACACCCACACGTGTGGGCGTTAACATTTCCGTACATGTTTAGTGCTGGTGTTGCTTTTTCTAAACATGCCACCCGTCTGTTGGTCCGTATGTACTCAACGTTTGGAATATAGTGGTGGCGTTGGTTTTTTATTCACGCCATAGTTAAATTGTTAGCAGTGGCATTCGTTTTCTTTGCACGCTAGAAATAATTTTTCCATTTTATCAAGTGTTTTAAGTATTTAATGATTATACTAGTCACAAAATAATGAACATTTTATATTATATTTTTGTCATCATTATTTTTAGTGTTTTTAAAATTTTAGGACTTTTATTTCTTTACGCCCAGTTCTAATTTTGAGTCATTTATTTAGTTAAGTCTTTCATTAATTTTAGTCTTTTTTTATTTGGGATGTTATTAGTTATGACGTTGCACTTTAGTCCCACGCCATCAATGGTCCACCTGAGTCAACTTAGTAAAAGACCTAAGTCACCACCCTCTTATTTCACACCCACCCCGGCCGTATACACTTCCACCTCGACCAGAGACGTCGTGGCCACCGCCACCTCATCGTCGGCCCTCGCCGACAGCAAGGTTTGATCCACTCCTTCTCCTCCCATCGCATCTCCTTCCTCTCCACTCCTATCTCCTCCGTCCGCGGACATGCCACACGGAATCCGTTGGGATTCATGTAGTTGATTTAGGGGATTGCTTTAATTTGTGTAGAAATTTTAGTATATATCATGGATTGCTTTGTGTGATGTAGAATACAAAGTTAGTTGCATGGATTGCTTTGTGTAGAAATTTTAGTGATAATATGATTGCTATTGTGTAGAATTCGATATTTGTAATGCATTTTTATTAGAAATATTTTGAGTGCCTAGAATATTAGGAATAAATAAAATGAACTCCTATAAATTACTAGCGTAGAATTTGCTTATTTGTGTTTCTGTCTGTGATTTTTTTATTTATGTATACAATTAATAGTGTAGAAATATATACTTAGTTTTCAATATTTTTTGTGTAAAATGAACTCCAATTATGTTTAGTAGAAATTGATTTACTACTGTACAAACTGATTATATACTTAGTTTTTAATATATTGTGTGTAGAATGGCGCAGCCATCACTATGTCCAGTGTGCAAGTCAAGGTGCGCAACCAACCTTGCAACTCGCATGCTATTTGGCATCTACTTCCAGCCATGTTTTGTTCCTGCAGCGGTAACACATTGTATGAACCTTCTAACAGCTAGTTCATTTGTTTTTGTTGCTATTTCCAGTAATGCAATGTGTTTTTTTCTTATACAGATCGTCCCTTGCAATGTGAGATTGGAGTTGAATGAGCTCATTACCGGAGACACTGTGATCTTCGACGCTCTTGGGCGGGCCCTACACTATGAAGGTCCACAAGGGACAAAAGATATCTCAAATTGGAGGAGTTGAATGGGGTCGTTTCATCGCCCACATGCATCTCACTGGGGGTGAATTGATCAGCTTCTCCTTCAAAAGGCAAACTCCAAGGATGGTTGTTATCTACCTCAACTCGGATGACGAAGATGATGGGGACCCACTTGATAAAGCTCTCTATGCCCAAAGAATGAGGCTGAGCGACGACGAATCGGACAATCTCTGGTACATAATTCCTCCACGTGATGACTACATCGGGATGCCACTCGTGACCCGCCTGACAAGGACAAATGTCAACGGCCATGTCATGGTATGTTACCTAGTGTAGTAATTTGATATGCTTCATTAGTAATGTGATATGCTTAGTGTAGTAATAATGTCATGATATATGCTTACTTAGTGTAGTATGTGTGATGCGTCATATGCTTAGTGTAGTAATGTGTGATGCATCATATGCTTAGTGTAGGAATGTTGTGATATGCTTAGTGTAGAATTTGACGATATGCTTAGTGTAAAATTTGACGGTATGCTTAGTGTGTAGTAATGTGGTATGTTTAGTGTAGTAATGTGAGGATATATGCTTAGTGTAGAATTTGATGATATGCTTAATTAGTGTAGTATTGTGTGATGCATCATATGCTTATTAGTGTGTAGAAATGATGTGATATGCTTAGTGTAGAATTTGATGATACATTTAGTGTAGTAATGTGATATGCGCTTAGTGTACTAATGTAACATGCTCATTTATTATATATGTTTTTTCTTCAGAAATTACCTAAGAGGCTAAGTGAGAGTTGTGGCATTGAGCCGGATGAAGCAGGCATTGCTGGACTACGCCTTATCGCAAGGGGCTCCATCACCAACTGTATTTATGCAGTGGACATGGACGACCGCGCTGTTTTCAGCGTCGCGGGATGGAACAACTTCTTTGCTGGCAAGAATCTTCAGGTTGGACAGACCATCTTAGTCATCCTTAGAAACACCCCGCGTCATGACTTGAGAATGATGATCGTCATCGACCTCATTTAGAAGTATGTGTGTGGCGGGGCCGACGATGCTAAATGAACTGCTTATTAGCGCTATCTACTACTGTTTTAGCTCGTAATGTTCTATTAACTTGTAATGTTTGTTAGATCTACTATGTATTGTCTGTGAGATTGTCACTTAATTATTAACTTGTAATGTTCTATTATCTGGTACTATTCTATTGTGTAATGTTATATATGTGCTTAGTTTTAATGTGAAATGCTAAATGTTACATGGTGTTGAATTATTATTATTTTGACTGCACGAAACTTCGTGGCGTGCAAAGTACATTGCGCGCCGCTAGGTTAGCGAATATAGTGGTGCTGTTGCCGGCGTGGTGCGCCATCAACTCATATAATACTACTAACGTGGGCATGAATGCCATCACTATTTTTTTAACAATGGAGCCATACTGGTGGTTCGTGCGACCATGCCAGCAAGGCCATTTTTGCCACGCCATAGTTAGGCTTTTATGCACTAGTGTCAAATTCAGTGGGATCAATGGATTCTGATAAAGGAGGGATTGAGAATGACAAATTTCATAAAAAGAACAA